TTTTTTTACATAAAAGAACAATATCACTTAAGCAAAACTCATCATAATTCTGATTCATGTAGAATCGGACCAATATCCATTTTTAAATACGTTTTGGTACATAACACGAAGACGAAATTAGCTTTAAACATTCTCCATTGTACTGTATGACTGACTATCGGTGTTCGAACTCTTATGATCTATGTATATCAATCTGCAGAATAATTTTATTGAAAACTTTTTCTAAACGGACATTAGCAGCCGTGAAGTTTAGTGCAAACATCTTTAGGTGCAGTTCCGGATTCGAGCTCATGGATGATAGGGTCGAGGTGTTCGTTTACGTAGTTCTCGCATTCCTTGTTTTCTATTGGAATCTTGAGTTCTTTTTGACACTCTTTGTCAAATTCCTGAAATGAGAAGCTACATTGAGTTTGTAAGAATATAAAATCGAAAAGAAATGAGTCTTCAATCTTTTACCTGCTCAATATGAAGCGTGTCTTTGCCTAGGTTTGGAGCAGCGACTTTTACAGCCGACTTGCACATGATACATTCGGCTACATTGAACCTGGCAGGAATGGCCACAGCCATGGAAGAAACGACAACAAACGCGAGTAGGATGAGTGTGCGCATTCTGAAACATTCAACTGGGCACGAGGTCAAGCCTCAGCACGAGCTCTACAATAGCGAGACCTTGCGAAAATGTTTGAGCAGCAAATTACAAAGCCTCTTTTGCAGTCTGAAGAAATTCAAGCAGACAGGACAAGTGTCGCAGTGCTGTTTCCTTGAGGCGAGTTTCCTCGTAAGGTAAATCGAATTAAGGTCATAGCAAGGAAGAAAGGAAGTGTGTTGATCTAGCTACTCCTCTATAAGTTAGCTAAAGGAGGGCGTAAAAAGTGTTTGATATAAGGGAAGCAAAATGTGTAGAAAAAAAGCGTTTGCAGTCGGAAACGTGACGTCTGCGGCTATCCGCTTAGAAAAACGAGTTTAAGCAACTTTTTGTTGAAATTTATTTAAATTTTTCGCGCAGATC